ATAACATTCTTATGAACTCCTTACAACCAATGAAAAACTTACAAGTTCATGGAACTTAGGATCTATCAGAATTGAGATTTTATCAGACAGATGAGTGCTAACTCATCTCCGTTGTGCCCATGATGAGCTGAAATTTCATGGTATTCACCTAACGTATTGACTAACAAAGATTTTAGAAATCACTAAAAAAAAAAAATGAAGGCATCCCTTTCCACCTTAAGCTCAAAATTCAACATAAAAGCCCCTGTCAAAGCAATCATGGAATGCTGTTTGATGTGAATTGTGGTGAAGCTGAGGCTCACACATGGCAATGGACAAAGCCACTTTCTGTGCACGCAGAATGGGTGAGAAGACAAAGGCAGCTAGGTTTTTGTTTCTTTCTGCAGGCCACTACGTCGAAGACATCTGCGTATACGGACCAGGAGACCTGCCGTGGCTCATTCAGTCGCCTTCTCTGTTTGCCAACAAATTCGAACTCTCGACAGACCCACTTGTGGTTACCTGCTTAGAGCGGTGGCACAGACGTCAGGCGCTCAGGCAGGCAGAAGTTCCTATAGAGCCACACTGGCATTTCCAACAGCAGAGTCATTTCAGTATGAGACTGCACCGCTAGGGAGTGTCTGCGTTCTTACTTGTTGACTTGAAACAGGAGAAGGTCGAACCAAAGAAAGTGGGAAAATCATTCCTAGATACAAATTATTCCTTAAATGAATACAGAAGCATGCTGTTGACAAGGCTTTACTATTGATTACAGGCCACTTTTACAGCTGTGGGAAAGAAATCACAAGACAAAAAACTCAGGCCACCACTGGTGACACAGCAACGCACTTAGAAGGCCAGGGCTTCAGTAGAAAGCTGCTGAAAACACAAATTCTCCAAACACTTGGATCCAGGCTCAAGCTAGAGTAAGAATGACACAGCCTGTTTTGAAGACCCAGATATTAAGAAAGAACAAACTATCAGTGAAAATGAAATGCTTATCTGAAACAGTCCTCACTGGCTGCAAACAACGTAACTCTGTTCTGGCAGTCCCAGACAGACACTGAGCAGTATTCGTCTTTAGGTGAAACATTTCTTCAGGTGAAATAGAACTCATCTGCAGTAGAAAACACACCTGGTTAAAAAGGGTGCCCTAAGTGTCTGCGGTCTTGACGTGACCTATCGTCTCCTAGCACCTTCTGTGGGGCGGACGCATTCCACAGCCAAGCTGTCCAGCGCTTGCCACAGCCACGGGGGCTCCTGGGCATTAGAAATGTGGCTAGTGCAACTACAAAAGTGAATCTTAATTTTTATTTAATTTTCTAAAATTAAATTACCTTTAAATAGGCACATGTGGCTACTGGCACCATGCTGAACAGCACAGATCTGAGACATGAATGGTCTTAATTATCTCTATAACAGATCTAGGTCTCCTCCCTTACAAAGTCCATGACTTTTTGTTGCTGCTGCTGCTGTAGGGAATTTTATATATAGTCCTTCTCTAACAAGAGTTCATACGGCATCATATGAAACTGAAATGCATGACTATTAAACGGCACAACATACAAGAGATTTCAAAAAGGGATTTAAAAAAGAGAACACTGGAAGCAGAGGAAAGGAAATTAAAGAAACGTAATTCCAATGCAAAGTGTAAGCACCTCAGTACGTGGAAGCTTCCCACGCATAGAAATGAAGTCAAATCACCGTGTGTCAATGAGATAGCCCTGGGAAAACATATCGCTAGCCAGAGGGGAAAGGAATTTGGAAGGCAGATCCCACAAATCAAACATCAAAGAACCACAGAAAATTAACACCTTTGTTTAAACAAACATTTCTTTCTCTTGGATATCTAATCCAAGAAAAGCACATATGGAAAATATTGAGACTTTCAAAAACAACACAGGAGCCCATGACAGCACACCACTGCCTTCCTACACATTTTTACAGGCAAACAAGGCGCTCCCAAAGGCAATAGCTGGCTACGCGCTGACGGGCTGTTCATTCAGAAAGCTCAGATCAGCCACGATTATGTCCCTGGTATTTTATAACTCAATAGCAACTGAATGTAAACCCCACTAAAGGAACAATAAAAAAGCTTATATCATTCAAGTTACTTAAAGCACAAGCCTGCCTTCACTTCATTCCAGTATCAACCCACGGTACACCCAGTCACATACTGTGGAGGGGGCCTTGTGAGAGCATCTGCCCACCAGCACTGTTAGGAGGGCGTGGGTGCTCCTGGGGGAGAAGCACTCAGAAAAATGCCTGACATTTTTTTTTTTTTTTTTTTTTTTTTGAGATGGAGTTTCACTCATGTTACTCAGGCTGGAGTGCAATGGCGCGATCTCGACTCACCGCAACCTCCGCCTCCTGGGTTCAGGCAATTCTCCTGCCTCAGCCTCCTGAGTAGCTGAGATTACAGGCACGCACCACCATGCCCAGCTGATTTTTTGTATTTTTAGTAGAGACGGGGTTTCACCATGTTGACCAGGATGGTCTCGATCTCTTGACCTCATGATTCACCCGCCTCGGCCTCCCAAAGTGCTGGGATGCCTGACATTTTTAATGGAGGAGGAAATCGAGACACAGGGAGACGATGGGATGTTCCTGGGATCACACAGCTGGGAAGGTGAGGATGGGATTTGGACCAGGCAACTACACTCTGCAGTATCACTGCTGAGTCCCAGGTAGCTACACCACCTTACCTCACACAAAGCAGCACAAATTAAAACAAACACCTGCCCCCCAACAGGTTTAAATGCTGTAATGAAGTCATGTCCTGAACAAATTTTAAAATCTGTTGTAGAAACAGGGTTTCCCTATGTTGCCCAGGCTGGTCTTGAACCCCTGGCCTCAAGTGATGCTCCCACCTCAGCTCCTAAAAAGCTGGGATTATAGATGTTGGCCATTGTGCCTGACCAAGAGTGGGCATTTCTTAAAAAATAAATTAGTGGCTCACGCCTGTAATCCCAGCACTTTGGGAGGCCGAGGCGGGTGGATCATGAGGTCAAGAGATCAAGACCATCCTGGTCAACATGGTGAAACCCCGTCTCTACTAAAAATACAAAAAATCAGCTGGGCATGGTGGTGCGTGCCTGTAATCCCAGCTACTCAGGAGGCTGAGGCAGGGGAATTGCCTGCACCCAGGAGGCGGAGGTTGCGGTGAGCCGAGATCGCGCCATTGCACTCCAGCCTGGGTAACGAGAGAAACTTCACCTCAAAAAAAAAAAAAAAAAAAAATTAAAAACCTGTCAGATGATGACAATATTGCAGGCCCATGGGTCATGCTTTGAGTAGCAAGCCCATCATTTGTTTTGCAGCCTGTAATTATTCCAATGTGTTTCTTCTTATTACAAGAAGTGCAGAGCACAGTAGGGAATACAATTAATTTTTTGGCTAGTGATTTGTTTATAGTAAACACAAAAACACCTAGCAACTACATCTCTTTGGACCCTGTTTACTGAAACCAATGTGCACACCCTGTGTTTTAGAACATGGCACCAATGCCATTTCAAGCTCTCAAGTCTCTTCCAGTGAACTGAAAAGCCAACTGTTGGTGAAACTACAGCCTGAAAAGTGGAGAAAATGTATACCCTCAATACCACTGAGGTTCCTGACATTCTTACGACACTGGTTTCTCTAAATGTTAGACATTACCTAAAAAGTGAAAATACTTGTTTTAGACTTTGACACTGTGGCTTTATCTCTCTTCATTCACATTTTTGTGATGCACTACAGTTCCTGAAACTGCACCATCACTTTTCTTTTTGGCAGAGTTTGGCTGAAATAGGTAGTGTTCATCTCTTCTTCCTGGGCATCCGGCCAGACTACATTTCCCAGGTTACCTTGCAGCTGTGGCCATATGACTGCGTTCTGGCTGATACAATGTGAGTGTAAGCAACACGCATCCCTTCCAGGCCTGGTCCATAGCAACCTCCTAAAAGAGATGTTCTCGTCTCTTTCTGATGGGAGCATGTTCCCAAAACAAGAGGTCAGAGCTACAAGACAGCAGCGGCCTGAATCTTTACCTTTGGAAGAAGGCTGCCCACTGGATTAGCTGCTCGAAGTTTGGGGTTGTTTGTTACAGCAGTTAGCCAACCCTGACCAAAACACAGGTTAAAAATTCCTTATCAGAAAATATGAAATCTGAAATGCTTCAAAATCTAAAACATTCTGAGTGCTAACATGGCGTCACAAATGGGAAATTCCACACCTGATCTCATGTGATAGGTCACAGTCAAAACTCTGATTAATGTATAAAATCATTAAATATATTGTATAAAATTAAGGTGTATATAAAATTTAAATGAATTTAGACTTGGGCCCTATCCCCAAGACACCTCATTATGTTTATATAACTATTCCAAAATCCAAAAAAATATGAAATTTAAAACACTTCTGGTCCCAAGCATTTCAGATAAGGAACATTCAACCTGTACTTAGTATTATTAAGCTTTAGAAATTAGAAATTAGAATTTGAGTCTTGATAAAAGTATATGAATTCACCATTTATTTCCTCATTTTAAAATGTTATTGTTTAGAATTTTGGATCTAAATAAAAAGCATTTGAAAATTTACTATATTCCTTCTTTTTACATAATAGAAGGGTCAAAGAGGTGAAGTGATATTCCCAAGGCCAGAGCCGGTGTGTGAGCCCAAACTGTTGTACTGGTTGTGCAATGGTTTGGATGTGTTCCTTAAAGTTCATTTGTTGGAAACTTGAGCCCTAATCCGTGTTGGGAGGCGAGGCTTCATGGGAGGAGTTAGGGTCATGGGGACGCTGCCTGCATGAATGGGATGGATGTGGGAGTGGGGTCCTTATTAAAGGACAAGGTGGGCTCACTCTTGCTCTTGTTCTCTCTCTCCCCTCTCTTCCTCCCTCCCTTCTCCATGTGATGCATTCCATCATGTTACAGCCCAGCAGAAAGGCTCACACCAGATGCTGGTGCCTTGATCTTGGACTTCTCAGCCTTTGGAGTTGTGAGGAAATAAATTTCTGTTCTTCATAAATTACCCAGTCTTGGGTATTCGGTTATAGCAGCACAGACCAGTCTAAGGTTGCCTGCATAAATGAATGATTCCCACTCGAATGTGCCACTGACTGTCCATACTGTTTTTTTTTTTTTCTTTTTTTTTTTGAGAGAGTCTTGCTGTTATCTAGGCTGAAGTGCAGTGGCATGATCTTGGCTCACTACAACCTCCATATCCTGGGTTCAAGTGATTCTCCCGCCTCAGTAGCTAAGACTATAGGTGCATGCCACCATGCCCAGCTAATTTTTGTATTTTTAGTAGAGACGGGGTTTCACCATGTTGGCCAGGCTGGTCTTGAACTCCTGACCTCAAGTGATCCACCCACTTCAGCCTCCCAAAGTGTTGAGCGCACAGCCATGAACCACCGCACCTGGCCCCACGCCCTATGATTTTTTTAAAGTGTGTATTACAGGTTGAATCATGTCCCCCTGCAAAATTGTTATGTTGAGATCCAAGCCCTAGTACCACAAAATGTCATGTTATCAGGAAACATGGACACTGCAGATGTAATTAGTTAAGATGACATCACTAAAGTGGGCCCTAATCCAGTATTAGGACTGGTGTCCTAGTAAGGGAAAATCTGGATACAAAGACAGACATGACAAAGGGAAGATGATGTGAAGAGGGAGAAGGCCGCCTATAAGCCAAGGAGAGGCCTGGCATAGAGCCCTGCCTTAGAAGAAACTAACACTGATGACACCTTGATTTTGGACTTTAGTCTCCAGGACTATAAGACAATGAATTTCTGGTAAGTCATCTTGGGTACTTGATTACGGCAGCCCCAGCAAACTAGCAGAGTATTCAACACAGCTCTCCAA